CTTTCGTAGTGATTTTGACTTTGGGGAAGAGCCAGAAGTTGCACAGTGCCAGATTCAGTGAATAAGGTGGATGAGAACACAGTAATATTTTCATTTGACTGAAATTACTGTAAATACTTTGAATCGATTCAGGACACTGACTAGCCACATCTGCCACCAAGGAGGAACCTTCAGAACTGCTTCAGAAAGTGGCAAGAATGAAGGGATGAGGCGAGGGGATTAATGACAATGTCTTTTACTGTAATAACTATTTAAACATATACTATATATTGTGATCACCCCTTATACTAAACATGAGGGAATGTCACAGACATAACAGTGAGTAAATAAAAGACATAAAATAGAATATACTGTAGGATTTCATTTGCCTTAGTTCAACTGGAAAGACCGATCTCTAGGAACAAACTGCAAAATAATGGTTACTTTTTAAGAGAAGGTTTGGGAGGTACTAAGGGAGCCTCTATGTCCTAGAAATACCTGTATCTTAATCTAGGCAGTGGTTATACAGGCCTATACCTAGGGAAAATTTATTAAGCTTTATTATGGATGTTTATGTGCACCTAAAGTTTTGTATGTCATTATCTACTACTGGGTAATATATAACCACAAAACCTAGCAGCTTTAAAAAATGAACATTATTATCTCACACAGTAACTATGGGCCAGGAATATAGTGCCAAGTTAGCTGGGCCAGGGTCTTTCATGAAGCTGCAAGTCAGGACACCAGCCAAGGCTTCTGTCCTCTGAAGGGTTAACCAGGATTGACAGTGTGCTGCCACAGTGGCTTGCCTTGCAAGTCCATGCTGAGTATTGACAGGATGGTTTGGTTCTTACCTGTCCATGGAGGCTGCCAGAGTATCCATGGGACGTATCACCTGGCTTCTTCCAGAGCAAGAGATTCGAGAGACTGAGGGAGGAGGAAGCCACAATGCCTTTTATGACATGGTCTCCATCCTTTCAAGGGAAGACTATCAAAGAATTTGTGGACACACTTTCAAACCATCACACATATTACAACTCAATTTTAAAATAATTTTATTTCATATTCCAAAATGAAAGTGATGTTAGAAAATCATGGGTTTTAGAAAAAGGTGATGGTTAAGCTGAACTTTGAATAACGAGTCAGCAGGTAAAGATCAAGGGACAAGTACTGAAGGAGAGGGAACAATGGGCCTTGCAGCAGCAGTGACTTATTGGAGATTCACAGAGAAGACAAATCTGGCCCAAAGTCAACAAGCAAGGAAAAATGAGAGCAGGTGACATTGATGAGGTAGGGGAAGCCATAGAAGCCACAGTGAGAAGTTAGATGTTATTCTAAAGATGACTACAAGTCCTTGGAGAGGAGGGAGTTAGCTAGAACAGTTTTCCTCTGATGAACATTTTGAGCAGCGTGCTCTGGCTGCATAGTATCTTAGCAGGAATGGAAAGACAGGATAAGGGAGGCCCTTTCCAGGGGACAGATGGTGGTAGGTTGGTGGAAAAGTACCAGTCTCAGCCTCTGGGTCCCACATGCATTTTTCCAGAGCTCTAGCCTCGAGCCTCTGAGCTGCTCAGAGGACATGCACAGAACACACTCATCCAAAGCAGCAGGGAGATTCAAAGTTGTCTTTGGTGACAGCTGGAAGAAAGGGTTTTGTCCCAAAGAGGAACAACTTTGAGCATCAACATGGAACATTGTGTCATTCCATATGGTCCTCCTTGGGTGAGTCAGCCTTGCCCAGAGTCAGCAAATAGAGATCAAGAGACAAGCATTGAAAGCAGAGGGAAGAGCAGGCCTTGCAGCAGCAGTGACTTGTAGAGATTCACAGGAGTCATATCTGGCCCAAGGTCAATGCTTCATGAGACCCGCATGCTGGTCTTTCCAGAGAAGATACCCGCCTTTCAAACAACGAGTGTTTTTATCCTGGAAAAGAACTTGTGATTGCCAGGGGCATCTGACTTCAGTGTGACAAAGTGAAAGAAAGTACAGTACTCGGTTCCTCTGCAGGGGCAGGGCTGGCCAGAAGCTGTGAGGACACGTGCTACACACTGGCCCACCCTGTTGCAGGACAGAGGAAGGAGATTCCTCAGATAAAAGACAGCATTAGGTGCTGCCTTTTCAGGCCTCCTACATCCCTCTCTGGGTATGCCATTTGGACTTGATCTAGAATTTTCTAGGGGGAAAGGCAGTAGGACACAATGTAAATGCTTCATCAGAACCCAGGTATTTTCCGACTTTTGAGAAAGAAAATCCTTCAGAATAGAATAGTTTGTGTGCTGCAGTTTGAACTTGAATTTCCAAGTGAGCAGTTGACAACGTGCAGATACTTAGTCCCGGTCTTTTGTTCCTTTCCATCAAATCCTGTTTCTTTTATTCTTCGGGGAACAGATCTCATGCATGCATACCGTGGCAGCATGCTAGGGCACAAAGTTATTTACTATCTATTTGATCTAACACTAGAACCATGCCTGGAAATTTTGAGCCCACAAACACCAAGCATACTAACTTTGATTGTCACATGATGATTCCTGGGGTGAGCAGTCATGACTGCTTCCAGGCAGCTGAATGAACTTCAGGCTGGAGACTGCCAGACCTGTGACCCAGGCTCTGGCACTATTCCTGGCGTGATCCTAGGCACCTCACTTCATCTCCTGGAGCTTCCATGGGAATGTAAAATACATACCCAATGACAACTTGGCTTCCTTACTGCTCTGATGGGAATGGCTTTGAACCCCCACCAGGTACCAAGATGAAGTGAAACAGGCCAGCCAGCTGGGGTCCCAGAGGAAGCAGTTGGGCTGAGAAGTCCCTGGACAGCTATGAGGTGTAAAAATCACGCTCCATACAAAGATGATAAATTATTCTGATATTTTGATAACCATTTACATTCATGATTTCATAATGAGGTACTTTCCAGTGCACTGTGTCAGTTGATCGTATAATAGGAATGTGAAGGAGTTTATCCTGATTTAGATGTTTCAGCATCTTTCTCCATATAAAGTGAAGTGCCTACTTCCAGGCCACAGGCACAACGGTCCCCTGGCCAGGGGACAACAGAGGCTGATAACCACATCAGTACTGGGCAGAGGTCATCTGACCTCAGGTGTGTGAGTGTAGATATCTATGGAGCAGTAAGTTAGGGAACGGCTCAGGAAATGGGCTCAATGAAGTCATGCTACCTCATGGTTATGTGACCTAGGAGAGGCTACTCAGGTTTCTCTCCTTATCTGTAAAGTGGGGTAATAGTACTAAAGTCATGGGTTTTTAGAAGAAATAGTTTATTAAAGTGCTTAGCACAGGACATGGCATATAGCAGGTAATCAATGAAACATTAGTTAACCTGTTTCAGGGGTGAGAAGTGCTAATCATTCACTCTTTGCCTCATGAGATTCTAGCCAGTGAGACACAGGAGAGTCAGGTTTTTGCTAACAGTCCCACAACTCACCTTGCAAGGCATCCTGGTGCTTTCTTCCATATCTGGTACTGGAGTCTTGTGTGTTGTAGGAGGGCCATTTCCTACCTCGGTGTTGTCTTCGAGTTTCAGAATTCATCAGGAGAACATGAGCATGTGACCTTTGTAGTGTGACTGTCCCGCTCCTGGTTCACGTGGGCCAGAGGATGTGAGGCTCTTGTTGATCACATCACCAGTAAACTAAGATGGTCTTCTCTATGGGAAGTGGCCTTTCTCTAGCCCTTATCACTTTCCTGACTAGAAAGATTTGACATCCTTAATCTAGGAACTCTGGTAGGAATATGGACAGAATGGAGGGGCTTTTGGATGAGGGGGTCCCGTGTCTTCCTCGGAGAGCCCTCCCTCTGCACATGACTAACTGGAAGAATTCAGGCCTTTATGATACCAGCTGCCCTCCAGGTTGATACCACGGTGGACAGTCATGGGGGCTAACCCTAGTCAAACTGAGTATCTGGGTCTGGAAAAAAAACCAAAACCCTGAATTCCTCTATTTATTCACTTCTGTCCATGTTGCAGTTAACTTTTCTCTGTGCTTTTTCAGCACTGAGGCTTTTTCTGAGGGAAATGTCATGTATGGAGACCTGGTTTACAGAGGACCTTCACCATTGTTGGTGTAGAAAAATGTGGTTCTAGGTGGCTAAGTGCTATGTAATGCACAGAGCTCCTTACCAGCAGTAGGGTTTTTACAGTCATGCGTACACGAGACAGAATGGACTATGTTAACAAGGTGTTTTCAAGTTTACTGTTCTTTGAGCAAGACCTAGAAGCACAGTAGAGTGAGCAGTCTTCCTAACAGAAGTGCCTCAGAATGGCCAGGGAGATGATGTATCAAGGGCACATGAGGTAAGACTGAATGATTGTGGCAGTGACGGAGGCTTTTTGCCTATAGAAATCCTGCCTACATTTCGGGTTGAGATTGAAATGCCACCTCTTCTCCATGGATATGTTCTTGATTTTCTCTTAACTGTACTAGAGCTTTCCTTCTGAACTCCCTAGTACCCACCTCGTTCTACTCCTCTGCCTTATAGTATATGTGTGTGTGTGTAACTGTGTGATCAGAGGCATCATGGAAGAGGGATCCCAACTCGGCTCTGAGTCAGATTCAATTACATGTTAACTGTGTGAGACTGGGCACATCAGGCAGCCTCTCTGAGCCTTTGCTCCCTGATCTGTGAAACATTACTTTTTCAAGTTGTTTGGAAGACTGAATATAGATAATGTACAATACTTGTGATACACTAGGCATTTAATACATGATAGGTACTTTTTTAAGACTATAAACTCTTAAATGAATTACTTTTCATTACAAAGTTACTTCTCAAAATTTCTTGTATCCTATTCACTAAATAACTTCAGCCCTACATTTGGCTTTTGTAGTCTTAATGAAAGAGCTGGAGAATTCAATATCCCCAAAACAGGGCAGACTACCTCATGGGATATAGGATCTCCTTGGAAATCTACATCTTACAGTACTTTGCTTGCTTACAACTGATGCTGTCAGGTCAGGCTAGTACAGATGACTCATGACATATATACTTTTTTCTTCCAGATTCTTAGAATTTGCACCAGATATACCCCAGAACAAGACACCATGACTTTTTCAGATGGCCTTACCCTAAATCGAACTCAGATGCACAATGCTGGATTTGGTCCTCTGACTGATCTTGTATTCACCTTTGCCAACCAGCTCCTGCCTTTGGAAATGGATGACACAGAAACAGGCCTTCTCAGTGCCATCTGCTTAATCTGTGGAGGTACCGGCTACTAGACAAACCTTCATATGATCCCATGAAGAACTTACAATTTATAGGAAATTCCTAATCTCCATTTTGGAGTTATTTTGCATGGGGGATGGCATGTGAATAAAGCATACAGGCCTGGGTTTCTTATACTTCTCCATATTGTTATAATGAGTAATGGTATTTGGAATCCTTTTTGCTCTGAAAGAAATGTCAGAATGCTATTTCTCCAACTGCCATAGGTCTTTTTTTTAAAGGCATTTTTAAACTATTGTCAAAGGAATTTCCTGGAGACATTTTAATGATAACCCAAAGGACTTGCATGCTCTGCTAATATAGTGGCTAGGAATACAAGGTTTTGCCTGGGCACCCCCACCCATCCTTGGAGGACTGAGATAAAACATGGCCCCTGCTGGCTCACAGAGGCTCAATCTCAAGTGGTTAAAAGGTAATGGTTTTAACTAAGGGGCAGATTTACCTGACTTTTATTATATCCCCCTGCTCAAGGTGTTCTCAGTTCAATTCAGTACTGACATCTCCTGGTCACAAGAGGTAATTCATTCTTCGGGACAAAAGCAACCAGGCATCAAATGTGCTTTGGACTGACAAGGGGGACAGTTACTTATATTTAAATTAGTATGAAATTAAATCAACAAATAGTCATAATATAGTAGGAATAGAAAACAAGGAAGTGGGGAAATGGGCAAAAGTCATCTAGCCTGGAAAGCACACAGCCCTTTCTGTCCTGATACTGTTTAATATTTTTACTGTTCTCTAGACCGTCAGGACCTTGAGGAACCAACAAAAGTAGATAAGCTACAAGAACCACTGCTGGAAGCACTAAAAATTTATATCAGAAAGAGGCGACCCAGCAAGCCTCATATGTTTCCAAAGATATTAATGAAAATCACAGATCTCCGCAGCATCAGTGCTAAAGGTAGGTCTACAGTCACAGGATGAAGTTGATGGCCTTTCTGGCTGTGTTTTGTAAAAATCACATGTTTTAATTCAGCATATTTAGTAGCTGCTTTTTCTTTTAAGTTTTGGAATTTATCTCTCATTAGAACTAAAGGGATAAAGTAGCACTTCTCCGCTAAAGAAAAGAAAACCCTACTCAGTTCTTGAGCTCCTTCTAAGAGCTTTGTCTCTAGCATAGCATTAAGACTAGAAACAAAAATCAGATACCAGTACTCAATGATCTTAATAAATTACCAAGAATTTTACATTTCAGATGTTTGATTAGAAAAATACTGCTTTCAAAATAAGGTACTATGACACTTTTATTTTCTGGTTTCATATATTTCACCCCAGATTTCCTGACATCTGTTTATATAAATTTGATTTTAGTTTTTCTGTAAGATCTAAACTCCAGGAAAAATGAATGGTACTTAGGGATTAATGTGGTCATTGCTCTTAAGTACAGGCGGATTTACTTCTGCACACTTCCAAGCTAAGGAATTCTTGCTTTCCTGAGAGGAGTAAATATTCTTTGCCTAGTGATTTTCAGCAATTACAGAAGTGCCTACAGCCATATCACAAGCCATATCACAATTGAGTGTTAGAGTAGGTTTTTTCTGTGTAGACAGACAATTCAGCAGCTATTCCTACCAAATGTACTGTTATTTGTCACTCTCCTTCCCCATTAGCATACTCTGTACCCTGAAAACCTTGGCAAGTCAAGGGATAAACTACATTTTGGAAAGTGCTTAAAAGCACAGTGAACTTGTCTGAGAATCACTTTCAATTCTTGAGCTCCTTTTAAGAGGATTCTTCAGTGAGAAATTCCAATTTTATCCCTACTTGGGATTAACAAAAGCAAAGAGCAGATATCAGTGCTTGACCAGTGTAATTATGAATATGAGACCTGTAATTTTAAAACTGAGCTTAACATTCTCTATAGCTTGTCTAGTGATAGCTTACATAATTTATGGAAATACTCAATAATTTGTCCTAGTACAGTATAGCCACCAGTCACATGGTTCTCAAGCACTTTAAATTTGGCTACTGTGATTGAGACAGTTTTTCTAACTGTATTTAACATATTTAAATTTAACCACTTATGGCTAGTGGTCACTGTATGGGATAGTACAATGCTAAATCAGGGTGTTGAAAATCACCACGCATTGACTAGTCAGTTCCTCCATTTGTCTGTTGCATTTTTAAGATATATTTTTTTCTGGTCTTTTACCATGAACTTCTCTTTGTAAATTATGTTGACTGCCTGAGACATTGGAACTATGAAATTTAAACATGTTACCATATCTGTGCTGCTTTTCCATAAAGTAAAAATGTTTTAACTACTTACCAGTCCAATTATTTAAGTACAGGAAGACCAAAAATTATTTTTTGTCAATTTTTATAAGGTAAGAGGAAATGTAAAAAAAGACAACTCTATCAAATTTACTCAATACAAAAATTGACTGATTGAAATGACATCTGCCCAAGCAATGCTCAGGCTAGCCAGTACATAAACAACAGTTTAGCCCAAGTGTCGTTTGGGCAGTGTATTTAAGTGGCTAGTGTAAAATTACGGTGGCCCCTAAAGGGCATTGCTTTCAAAATTTTGTTTCAAGAGGAAAAGTAGTATCAGCTGTCTCTTCCATAAAAGATCAAACAGGCTCTCTCCAATAGTAAAGAAATCCTGTGTCAGCACACTGTGACCCTGAACTGGTTAAGAACCTCATCTGACTTCACAATTCAGTATGGATTTCTGGTGGCTGCAGTTCCCATTCTAAATATACTTATGTTTGTGTTTATGAGAGCTACAGTAATAAATGGAACCTTTTCAGCAAAGACAAAACCCACTTGATATCTATACAGTATTTGATCATTCAGAAGTCTGAGGAAACACACTAAAGTAGAAAGTTGGTCCCTTTTCATCTGAAGTTCTTAATCAGATTTCTATTATCTTTTTAAAAGGTGCGGAACGAGTAATTACCTTGAAAATGGAAATTCCTGGATCAATGCCACCTCTCATTCAGGAGATGCTGGAGAATTCTGAAGGACATGAACCTTTGACTCCAAGTTCAAGTGGGAACACAGCAGAGCACAGTCCCAGCATCTCGCCTAGCTCAGTGGAAAACAGTGGAGTCAGTCAGTCACCACTGGTGCAATAAGACAATTTCTGGCTACTTCAAACATTCCCCAGTACCTTCAGTTCCAGGATTTAAAATGCAAGGAAAAACATTTTTACTGCTGCTTAGTTTTTGGACTGAAAATACATTAAAACTCAACAAGGACCAAGAAGTTTTCATATGTATCAATATATATATACTCCTCACTGTGTTACTTACCTAGAAATACAAACTTTTCAGATTCTAAAAATCAGCCATTTCATGCGAACAGAAACTAGTTAAAAGCTTCTGTTTTCCTCTTTGAACAGTCAAGATTGCATGGCAAAGACCCAGTCAAAGTAATTTACCCCTGGTTAAGTTTCTGAAGACTTTGTACATACCGAAGTACGGCTCTGTTCTTTCTATACTGTATGTTTGGTGCTTTCCTTTTGTCTTGCATACTCAATAACCAAGACACCAAGGTTATGAAATAGACTACTGTACATGTCCACCTAAGCTTCAAAACATAACTGTCTTGCTTTTATGGAATAATCAAGACCTCAAGGTAAGAAAATAGGACTATTGTACAGTATGACAGGACTAAAGATATTCTAATTTAGTTAGTATGGAAGCTTGTCCTTGCTCTTTTTGATGCTCTCAAATTCCATCTTTTATTTCATATTGCCCAGTAAAAGTATACAAATTCACTGTACTAGCAGAAGAGAATTCTGTATCAGTGTAACTGCCAGTTCAGTTAATCAAATGTCATTTGTTCAACTGTTAATGTCACTTTAAATTAAGTGGTTATTACTTGTTTAATGACTTAACTACACAATTTTTTTAAAATGCTACATTTTTACAGTAATGATAGCCTCCAAGGCAAAAACACTTTTCAGTGTTAACAAGTTTTTGTTTACCTGTTCACAAGCCATTAGGGAAATTTCATGGGATAATTAGCAGATTGGTCTACCCCAATGTTAACTCTAGTGTCCTTCTTGATTCATGCCTGATCCTGGGATTGGTTTTTTCCCAGTCTTCTTGATGCCAAGGGGCAAACATTAACTCCCTAAGGCATGAGCTTAGAATCTGCCTCCTTTGACCTTGTTCAATCACTATGAAGCAGAGTGAAAGCTGTGGTAGAGTGGTTAACAGATAACAAGTGTCAGTTTCTTAGTTCTCATTTAAGCACTAGTGGATTTTTTTTATATTAGCAAGTCTGTGATGTACTTTTCACTGGCTCTGTTTGTACATTGAGATTGTTTAACAATGCTTTCTATGTTCATATACTGTTTACCTTTTTCCATGGAGTCTCCTGGCAAAAAATAAAATATATTTATTTTAAAAGTGTGTGAGACCTTTAACTACTTCTGTAAAGAGACAGAACACAGTTCCATTTTTAATGTTTAAATTTCATTTCAAAAAGCAGGTCTGTAGTCTGCAAACATGACAATTAAAATCTGTGCTAGTGCATGGCAATCTATAACAATTCTACTAGCCAATTAGACAGTACATGACATTTCAATGAGTAAAAAAGAGCATAAAACTATGTGTAAGAACAAAATGTTAAAAGGCCTACCACAATAAAAAACCATCAATTACATCATCACATTAAAATAAGCCAGATGTACAAAAGTCTGAGACAGAAAAGACAAAAGGACAACACAAGGTACTTGTTAAAATGTTTGTGCTCTTGGGGCACTTAATTAAACATTGCAAAATCAACATCTTCTTCATCAGACTCTGCAAAATATTTTACTTCTTTCCTAGCCCGACCAGTCCGTGGCAGAGAAGGTGGGTCAGAAGTGAAGTCTGAGGGGAAGATGTCCACATCTGAATCCTGATCAAAAGATGTTTTCTTCGGTTTCTAGATATTAAAAACACATACATACACAGATTTATAAACCCCAAAGTTAATGAAAAGACTAGTTTCAAGAACTGTTATTCCATATACTATACTTAATGTGTAAAAGCAGAATCGTTAAGATATAAAAATAAAACAAAAGACTCAATAGCTTTTCTCTATATCAATAATGAACTAGCTGAGAAAGAAATAAGGAAAACAAGTCCATTCATAATAGTGCAAAAAGTACTTAAGGGTCAACCTAGTAAAAATTAAAGAACACTGGAGGGAAAAAAAAAATGACACTAGAAGATGGAAAAGCCTCCCATATTTATGGATAGGCAGAATTAATTTTGTTAAATTGGCCACATTACCAAAAGCAATCTACAGATTCAGTGACATTCTACAGAACTAGAAAAAACAATCCTAGAGTTCATATGAAAACACAGAAGAGCCAGGATAGGCAAAGCACTCCTAAGCAAAAACAGCAAAGTTGAAGGAATCACAAAATAGTACCTAATTTCAGGCTATACTACAAGGTCACAGTAACAAAACCAGCATAGTACTGGCACAAAGACAGACACATAGACCAATGGGATAGAATAGAGGGCACAGAAACAAACCCACACAATTACAGCCATCTGATTCTTGACAAAGGAGCCAAAACCATAAAATGGAAAAATGACAGGCTTAACACGTGGTGCCGAGCGCTCGCTTCAACAGCACTAAAAACAAATGGCGCTGAGAAAACAGAATATCCAGATATAGAAGACTGAAATGTTATCCCTCTCTCTCACCCTCAAAAGGAATCAAACCTAGGCACAAGGTCTGAAACTCTGAAACTACTAGACCATAACACAGGGGAAACACTTGAAGACACAGGCACAAAGACTTCCTCCAATAGCACAGAAAATAATGCAAAGAATCAACAAATGAAAAAAAAAGAATCAACAAATGGAACTACATCAATTTAAAAATTTCTCCACAGCAGGGAAACAACCAATAAAGTGTCTATAAAATGGGAGAAAATCTTTGCCAGCTATTCAGACAGAAAATATCTAGAATATTTAAAGTCAAAAGGCTGAACACCGAAAAAAAGCAATAAATGGAGAATTGAAAGACACTTCTAAAATAAGTACAAATGGCCAATAAATGTATGAAAAGCTGTCCTACACCTTTTAGCCATGAGGGAAATACAAATCAAAACTACTGAAATTCCATATCACCCCAGTCAGAATGACTATCATCAAGAATATAAAAAAACAAGTGCTGGTGAGGATGCAGAGTGGGGGTAAGGGGTTTCTAACATGGTTGATGGGAATGTAAATTAGTATATCCCCTATGGAAATCAGTATGGAGGTTCCTCAAAAAAATAAAGATAGAGCTATACCATTTGACCCAGCTATACCACCCCTTGGTATATACCCAGAGGAATTAGTCTGTATGGTATAGGGATACCTTCATATTCATGTTGTTGTGGCACAATTCACAATAGCCAAGATATAGAATCTGCCTGCGAAACCAACAGATAAATGGATAAAGAAAAAAGTGGCATATATTCACAATGGAGTTTTATTTAACCATAAAGAACAAAATTACAGTGTTTGCAATAAAATGGAGTTCATGTTAAGCAAAACAAGTCAGACTTAGACAAGCATTATGTGTTCTCCCTAATATGTGGATTCTAAAAAAAGATGACATGAAAATAGCAAAGATTTATTATACAAGAGGAAGAGGAAGAGCAGTGGAGAGAGGTTGTAAAGGAGGACAACAGGGGGATGAATATGATTAAAATATACACACTGAAACCCAGTATTTTGTAAAATTAACAGGCACTAATAAAAATACATACATAATTGGGGGGTTACTGGGGATTGAACTCGGGACCTTGTGCTTGCAAAGCAAGTAGCGGCACCACTGAACTAAATCCTCAGCCAAAAACTACATTTTTAAGAATCAGAATTATAATGCTAACTAAAGTGTAGAATCAATTTTGAAAGGAAAAAAGGATTAGATATAAGTTGCCACCTTGATGATCTCATGTTTACCAAGTTATAGCCTCAAGAATACAACACCAGTACTCTATAATTATATTATCCAGTAAATGTGCAAAATGCCCAGATTAGTAAAAATTCACTTTGTCTTATTCGTAAGTACATACCAAGAATTCATGGGGAGAAAACAAGATCATGCACAGTAAAAGACACACTATAAGTGTTCATAACCACCAAGGTAGACCAAAGAGGCACAGGTGAGGACTGAATGGAAGTGATCAATGTGGAAAATAGCAAGGCTATATAATCATCTTTGTATTTTTAAATTTTAACAGAAGAGAATGGGGAGGGGCGCACCTAAAACAGTATTTCTGGAGAAAAGTCCGATTCATCAGGTGAACTAGCCACAGTCAAATGAATTTAAAAAGAAATAGTCCAATATTCAGGTAGCATATAACTACTACAGTTCAACAGATGGAACTGCAGATTAAATAGGTTAGTTTATAGCACACTGTTATCAAAAAACTGACCTGGTTATATAAATTTATATATTTCTCTATTGATAAGAGATGTTTAGAGCTGTTAAATAAAATCATGAACTAAAAAGATGCTCTTAATTACCTTGCTTGTTGTTTTGGATGATTTCCTGCCAGGGTTATAATCACCTTCATTTTCAGAGCTAGATGCTTTCCTTTTCTTTGCCCCTCGGCCTTTACCTTAAAAATACAAAAATGTTGTTTCCTCTCAATGCTAAGTACAACATAGGAGGATAAATACCAAAACACAGTTTGCTTCTCTGGTATGTCCAATCAGTGAGGCACTGCAATCTTGTTCTCTGATTAGGATACACAAATGATTCAGCAGGACATTTTATTTCTGGAGTTGACATGACTAAAGAGTATTTTAAAAATACATTTAAACTAGGGAAAATTCTGAAAGACAAATTTTAATGATTAAGCCCTTAATAAATGAAACATTTATTATGCATTTTGCATATGTGGTCTTTTGTGGTCTTTGGGCCTGCAAAGGAAGTCTCTTAGAAAATTTTTAATTGCCAACTTATAGTCCAGTACTTTAAATTTTTTTAATTCATTAAAGTTTATTGATACATTTTAGGTATACAGTATGATGACATTCATCATTGGGAACTTGTACCTGTACATGATGTATCTTGGTTCTTATTTTTTCCCCATTATCCCGCCCTCTGATCAACCCCTCCACCCCTCCCTATTTACAAAGCCTTTGTTTCTGTTTCTTCCTTTTTTCATATTTATTCCTTTCCCTTTTTTCCTTTCCCCTATGCCATGAATTACCAAAAAAGTAATCACATGCTCTTTTATTAAAACCAAATTATTACATAGCTTTAAATGTTCCTTCTCAATTTACTTATCACAGACTAGTGATAAGTAAATTTGTGGATCTCAGTAGTCAGAATGAATCTTCCAGTATTAACCTGACAAATCCATATCCCTTGTCAAACCTAGACTCACTGCATAAAGGATTTTCCTTTTGTTTTGTCTTACCTACTAAACTCTTATTTCTCTTCATTGGAGAAATAAAGGGAAAAGGTAATATTAAGTGGTGGCCAATGTTCTGCATCCCACAGTGATCCCATAGTGATGCCAAGAAAATAAAGTGAAACTAAATTGCAATTCTAAATCTTAAAAAATTCCTCGAAAGCTATGACCTAGATATTACTTGTAAGAAAAGGCAGCCTAAACAATCTTGAGATGTCATGACTTTCCAAGTGAATCAATGAAATTGCATTTTTAAATTTATAAAGGTTCCAAACCATGCATATCTTAAGTATTGACCTCCCCAGTCTCTAGAATTCTTTTCCACCTTCCCATTCTCCCTGTTTTAAATCTATGGCTCCTTATCCCAACCACTCATTTAAGATGTAAAATAAACACACTGATGAAAATATTCCTCAGTTGTGTAAAAGGTTGAGCAGCTACTCTCAGAGGGTTATCCTGTCCTACATATATTTTTCAAAGTATCTTTAAGGGCTTTCCAGATTCTGGAGGCAAAGACGGAGTGCTAAGAAGAACTTGTGCTGGATCCTTGTGTGGCCCTGAGCTACTTTATTTCCTACATGAGGAAAAAGTTATGGCCTAAGAGTCCTAAAGCAAGGACTCTTAGCCACTCCAAGGAGTGTCACACTTTAATGTCAAGTCCTATCTGCCTTTCTAATAACTTTCAGTGAGTCAGTTGTAGGGGTCTTTAAACCATTCTTAGGTATTCATTCTTACTTAACCCAGCTGGGTCACAATACTGGTAAAAAGCGTGACTGGACTAAACTGATCTTATTTCCATTGGATTCTAATTCAGCACTGATCCTTAGACATACTGTTTATTAAGGATTAAAGCAATTTAAAATAGGTACCCAGTCTCTAAATTCAATGTCATAGAAGAAACAATCTTTTCCACATGGCATATGTTAAAGAGTAATACAAAGATAATCCTCACCTTTTGGTGTTGCAGTCTTCTTTGGAACGCCAAATTCTGAATCTGAGTCAGAGTTTATAGTTTCCACTACTTTCTTCTGCTTGGGGGCTCTCTTGGATTTAGAAGCTGTATCCAAAGGTGGCTTTCCTATTAAGTAAATATCCATTTCATATGTCAATATACTTACCAATAAACCAAGCTGAAGTGAGTTCTATAAGAATGGAATTTCTTATTGCTGATAAGAAATTGAGTAGCCTTAAGTAATGAAATGGTTTCTCTCTGCTTGGGGTCAGTATAAAGGCAAACAATTTTTCACAGACAACAAAATGCATTTTATTTAATTATGCATGATTTACTTTTAGACAATTCCACTGAGATATTTTAGGCACAGACCATTAAAAATGAATTAAGAGTGGAGTCATAACAAAAAAGCAACAAGCAATATTAATTATAATTCAAGTACAGCCATGTTAAGAGTTTTAGATTAAAACGATTTAAGGAGAATGCATTTTTAGGGGATTCTCAAGTACAGTGAATTCTCAAATACAATGAATAGAAACCAATTCGCTTCCACTCGAAGTTGAAATTGACTTAACATCTTTATGTGAAAAGAAATATGAAAATCTTAGATAAGAAGACCACAAATATGAGGCCTTCACTTTGTTGTACAGTATTTTGTTTTTTAAATGGACCTTGTTTTTTCAGATTCATCTGCAGTTCTATGTAGAAGTTTAATCACATCTTACTTGAGTAATAAAACAATTTGGAAAAAAAAGTTTCAAATGGACCCAAATCAACTGCAGAATTTTCCATTAAAAAGTAAAAATCAGTGCTAATTCTACAGAAAATGTATTCCCAGTATTGATCTGAGATGCTAGAGATAATAAGGCCCCTCCCAAGTCAATATCAGGAGGAACCTAGCTCCTCATGGTGGTGGCAGCCAAGACCTTGCGGCTCTTTGAGTCTTCATGGCTAAACCTCCACAGGAGCAATAAGGCAGCTTTAGCAACAGTACATACTTGACATAGCTGGGTGAAAGGAACAACATGCTTTTCCTCTGGCAGGGTTTCTAAACTTGCACTGTTAGATGACACTTTCAACTCTACCAGCCAAACACAGGTCAGATAGCTGACTTGTATTATGGACTGACTGCCTTTTTGCTGTAAACTATTGGAACTATAGAATATAATATATGTAACTTGGGTAACAATCCCACAGAGGGACATGATGTGTCCTCTCCTTGAACTATTTTATAGGAATTATATTTTGGGAGGAAACTAGAGCAGTGGGGAGGGGTTGCTGACATCCCTGAAGTCATACTACATGCAGTCTCCTGGCTCAATGAACCCAAAGCGGCTCAGCTACTAGAAATAATCAAATAGGACAGGAGGTTTGATATTCTAGCCTTTAATGTTAAACTCTTAAGTCATTAGGATAAATAGCTTGACTAAAGAAAACAGGATGGTACATCTCAAGAAGTGCTATTTATCAGATGCTTATATGAAGATGATTTTAAGAAAAAGATAATTTAAAGAAAAATTATAAGGTCTTAGTTTGGGTTCCCCAGAAGTAGACCCTGCCAGGTCTCAAAACAAGGATTCAAGAATAAGTGTTGGTTTGGGAGGCAATAGAAAAAGAGTACCAAAATAAAACAATGCAGAGGATGGCTAACAATGGGTAAATTATCAAGCCACTCATCATTTTAGAAGCTTAATCCCCATGGGTGATTTTTGGGGGGGCATACCAGGTATCGAACTCTGGACCTTGTGAGAAAGGTGAAAGAACCACCAAGCTAAATCCCTGGCCCCACCCATGGGTGATTTTTGGAAGCCAGTTAAAACATATCCCAGAGTTAGCTCACTTAAAAGGCAAGAGCTCTGAGCTGTTTATAGACTACCTTTCCTCAATCACTGATCAAGGGCAGCTAAAGGATAGGAGAGTTTTAATACTCCAGAAGAGCTGCAAGAAAAATGTAAACAGTGGCCCATGTGTACTGAAGAGATAAGGGCAACTGGATATAGGTGGGTCACCCAGGGTGTTGGCTATAGCCAATCTCACCACAGTCCTAGTGCACTCAGGGTAATCGGAGAATTTATTATTGTGTTACATTTCATATTCATGTGTCAAGAATGGTATTTTCTGTTGCAGATTTTTAAGATCTTTTCAGGAATAGCTTATGGAGTTTATTTACCTCCTGTCATATGAAGTATATTAATTAAAATTTTTTCAGCAATCAAACCTTTATTTCTAGAGCACAAATAAACCGTTAACTTGTAAACACTGCTAGTACCACTCTTTTAAACTTACATTACTGGACAATGGGATAAACATTTGTTGAATAAACTGGACGTATTAATAGTTTCCTTTTCTGTTAGTTTCATATGTACAAGGATAAAATCATTTTTCATTCATATCATTTTCAATGCCCAGCATATGAAATCCTTAGTAAAAAAAGAAATTTAACTATATATTGTGTACATACTTTCCCATTATATTTTCTAATAAAGCAGTGCTTACAAGAACAAGAGTAAGCATTCATGAATGTTAGATGGGAGATCTTATTCTCTGATGTAAGCAGAGATATTCATTTGCCCACTTAAAAACCCACATTTAACTCATTTGCATCATTTTACAATTTGCACTTCCATTAATTTTGCAGAGATTTACTAAGTGAAGCTGTTTCATGACATACTAATGTCTACTGGAAAAAAAATTTCAGAGAAGCCAGGCATGATGGCATATGCCTGTAATCCCAGAACTCAGGAGGTTGAGGCAGGAGGACTGCCATGAGTTCACGGTCAGCCTAAACTACACAGTGAGACTGTGTCTCAAAAAAAACTAAAACAAACCCAAAACTGTCAGAGAAAAATTAAAAATGTATCTTTAGAAGTCTATTTCAAGAGATCAATCTTTTTAAATTTTTTTATTTAATTGGTATATGTTTGATACATACTAATTACATTCATCTTGAGAAATTGGTATATATATTAGATTTTTAAAGCAAATTACTATTTTTGAAAGCACTAATACTGATCTCCTCCAAAAAGACCCAAGTATATGTCTTAGTACTAATAACAGACTCATGAATTAACTCAGTGTTTGCTAGACAATTTAAAAGCCATGAAAAACAATAACAACAAAACTATATGACTCATAAAGAGAGCATTCTAACTGAAATGACCAATCTCTCCAACAAGGGAATGGAGGCAGGATTGACACAGATACAGAGAATCAGGCAACTAGCAAGTCAAAATTTTATTCTACTTTACAACCTAAGAAGGAGCTTTACTAGAAAGTTATTTACATAGGGCCAGGGATTTAGCTCAGTGGTTCCGCCACTTGCCTCACAAGTGCAAGGTCCCAAGTCTGATCCCTGGTACCAAAAAATAAAAATAAGTAAAAAGGAAAGTTATCTAGATAGCAATGCATGAGATTTTATAATTACAACAGCTTTAACATGTAGTCCTACACTTCTTCACATAATTAACACAAGAGATTCTAATACACATTTACACCTTTTAAGTTTGATACTAAAGTCCAAGTGCAAAATTTCAAGTTATATTAAATTTCCTTTACATCAAATATGTCTACATGGTTTATATAATGCTTAACACAATAAAATGTAAGTACATACCCTTTTTAGCGGCTACTGTTTTACTTGGAACTTTGTCTGTTTGCTTCAGACCAAATGATGGTGAAAAAACAGAAGCAGTATCTTCTTCATTACTGTCAAATTTAGCTGAATCTAAAAATTTCAAAGCTTTTTTTAGTAAAGAGATTCTATAAAGACCTCTGAGTAAACTTTGATTCGTTTAACTGATGACTTCTCTTTAGCTAGATAATTGATCTTGTAAGTTTCTATTTTGTGATCATATAATCCACAATATACAAACAGCTGAAAATAAAAAATATATCAATGTTATACCTCAAAAATGTTAACTATGTTGTGAAACAATACAGAAATGCATAGTGAAATTAATACTGTCAGATGCTAATCATTTCAAATGTATCCCACCTGTTCAAAAATATATACTGAAGATTTTTAAATGGGATATAAAAAAAGCTTTACTGTGATTATTTTAGTAGCTAAACACTACTAACCTTTCAGGAATATCAGTAATAATGTTCAAATCTAAAAGAGTAGTAAACAAATATTCATATTTCTAAATTAATAAATAATTGAAAACTTAAAACACATGCAAGCTTACCTTTAATTTTGTATACAAATTATTTAGACAATCATTTCTTTCCTCCCTCCCTCAAACTATAGCAGGAACTTATACATTTAAGTATTTTTACATAATTATTTTGACATGTTGTCAAAAATCACTATATATCTATATCTATCTATCTATCTATCTATCTATCTATCTATCTATATATATAAAATGTACCATATCTAGGTCTGTATGTATATTAAAAAATACAAGAAAATGGGTCAATTGACCTTAATTCCACACACAAAAGTACAGGGAATAAAAAACATACACCCCAATTAACTTTGTTTGAGGTAGTTTATAGTCTCTCAGCTACTGTAATTTACCCAAAATTCAATCTTCCAAACTTTCTCTTTCATACTTTTTCTCATTATTAAAACACTATAATACACTCTCTCTATATAAATAGGTTAACACTTGTTTGTCCACCTAAATGCTTCCATAATACCTATTCTTATCAATAAGAATTTCTGGGATCAGAAAAGTAAATAAATCCAACTACATGGAACAAAATGTAAAAAAGTAAGTCTTCTACACTCATGAAAAATTCTGACCTAATGATTTATCTGTTTTCTCTCCACCAAACAATACAACAAATGAAAACATTAAAAACATACCATCTTCTGACTTCTGAGAGTATGAAGGAAATGAAAAGAGATTCCCAAAATCCTGATTTTTTTTGTCATGCAAAGATTTTCTATAAGAAAATAGCACAAAGATGACATATTTAAATATCTTATTTTAATCCTAGACTCTGTATAATATGTGTGGCAAGATCATAATCATGGGGAAAAAAATCTTAGTTTTCACTTTTCTCTTTTTCAATTAAGGCCAGGGCAAAAAACTTATGTGTTTAAGCATGTACACATACATGTAAGTAAACCATGTGTATACACATGGATGCAGAGACACACTAGATAAAACAATAATTTAGAGTAAGAATGAAAACTGGACAACAGTTTAAAGTTATTCAAAAATCAGTAAATTAAATTTTATACTTGACAGAAATAATCATTCCAGAAATTAACATCAGCAAATTATCAGCAAAGAAGCAAGGAGAAAGACAGAAAGCTTTTCATAGCAAGCAATAATCCCATTTCTGATCCTAGACTGTAGGTTGGGAGTAACTTCTTGATCTGGTCAAGGCCAAATATCAAGTGGGAAAATACTTTAAAAAGCTAGAAATAGGGCCAGGGAGTTAGCTCAGTGGTTCCGCCGCCTGCCCTGCAAGTCCAAGGACCCGAGTTTGATCCCCCATACCAAAAAAAAAAGTTAGAAATAGTTCATAAACCTCTTATTTGACAGATTAATACTGGCATTCACCAAAAGCAAGAAAAATCAATCAAGGCCAAATCTAGAAAAGAAACAAACTTCCCAATTCAAAAGATTTAATAATTTTTCTCAAAAGCAGTTGTCCAACTATATCCCATGAGCCTACTGCTGATTTTTATAAATAATGCTTTATTGGAATATAGCTACACTAACTTATTTACATATTGCTTATGGCTATTTTCTTGTAACACTTGTGAAACTGTATGACCCACAAAACCTAAAATATTTAGTACTAAGATGTTTATGATAAAGTTTGCCAATCCTTCCTCTACACATACTATAGCAATGGTGGCAAACCTATGGCATGTATGCCACAGCAGGCTATTTGTTATCACTGAAAGCTCTGAAAGGTTCATCATCACTGTACTTATAGCAATAGCTACTAACAATATGTACTCCTTTATGAAGAAAACTACCTAGAATGATTTCTTGAAGCTCAATATAAGATCTTTGACAGATACCTAGAACAACTAATTGTATCATATTACTCAATAGCAGTTGCTTCATACTTACTCTGGAGTAGATTTGCTGGGAGAAAATGTATATTCATCTTTATCCAAGCCATCTGAAGGAATAAATTCATCTTCCCCATCATTTATTATGGGAGATGCTTTAACTTGCAATTCCTCTAAATCATTATTGTCATCATCATCATCATCGGCATCATCATCTTCCTCTTCTGAGAAATCAAATGTGTACTTAGGTCTTTCAGCTAGGAAAAAAAAATGAAATGTTAGCCAGGCATTGTGGCATCCACTTGTAGTTCTAGCTACTCAAAAGGCTAAGGCAGAAATATTACTTGAGCCTAGAATTTGGAGACCAGGCTGGGCAACCGTAGTGAGATCCCATCTCAAACAAAACACCACCAACCACCACCAAAAAAATTAAATTCAAATCCTACCTTCATCCATATGAAATATTTCAAAGTACATAAGAAAAGGACCAATATCTAGAAACTAAAACCTAATAACTCTGGCCACAAAGTGTTAACATCTGTCTCAAACTTTCTAGGAGGCTACGGGAAACGCTGCATATGTCAGGAGAACATAACATGGTGTGATTAACTGATTAGAATGATTACTCAGAAATACTGAGGAAAGTATTCAGTATGGTTTTGTCCCATATGGCCAATGTATAAACAACCACTAATATAAGATTTCCCACTTCTGCAATTACCAGTGACAAGTTTTGCTACTCTTCAAAAAGTGCTAGCTGGGTGTAGTGGTGCATGCCTGTAATCTCAGCAGTCAGGAGGCTGAGGCAAGAGGATCATTGTTGAGTTTGAGGCCAGCCTGGGTTACTCGGTGAGTTCAAGGATAGCCTGAACTGGCTGGCAAGACCTTGTCTCAAACCAAAAGAAAAAAAAAAAAAGTGCTAAATTACTTTCTTTCAAACTCTTGGATAAAAACTCTTATCTTCTCTTCAGGGTTAGCTTCACTATGAAATAACAAAGACAGTAACTTTTCAGAGGAATGAGAAAAGAAACATAAAACTTCAATATGTCATCAAATCAAGTGCATCTAATGCATAAATAGATACCAATTCAGGGGAAAGTATATCAGCATAATGTGGATAAATTTTATTATAATCTCTAGCAGGTATTATGGAATTCTAAAATCATCTGGATGCTATATAATTTTTTATTTTATTTTCCATTTATGAAGTAGCCTAAACATAATTTTGAAACATTTAATAAATTAGTCTTCATGTGATTTAAGTTACCCACGTAAAAGATTCACCTACAGCAGTGGTGGCAAACCTACGGCATACACACCACAGCAGGCTGTCTGCATCACTGAAAGCCATCGCTGACCTACAGTATCCCTATGTACATTAGAAACAAAGTCCAGTCATGTGATAAATCAAAGAATGCCAGGCTTGACATAAAATTAAAAATGCATCTCCCAGAGTTAAATAACCGTAATGTTGCCTCCTGTATTTTAATAAATTAGGACTTAACAAAATTTGAGAATGTATAAAACAAGAAGTCCATCCATTTTTCATTCTTGAATATTCAGAAAGGATCAAACCACATCCTTAACAGCAATATGTCATAGCAAAATGGGATTCTGCATCCTAAGCATACCACTGTAACTAAGAAAGCTATGTGCATACTCAGACTCCTAAAGTAGGAGAAAAGTTTCCTACCTTGTAAAAGGTAGAAAAGATTAAGACAAAAGCACAAAGCATTTCTAATAGATTTGTCATTGCTGGTATACTACCAAGGTATAGTCTTTTGAGGTTTTTTAACCAAATACCTTAAAGCTAAGGAAGGAATATAAGCCAAACTTTACAATAAAATTCAGTACAAATACATGATTCACTTCAGAGAAATTTACATCCAGCTTTGCTAGAAAAGATCACTACGTAAAGAAACTTTTGTCTCTATTACTGTAACTTCTTGAGTTTAGTACTTTATTAACACTGATAATAATAATACCAACTTATAGGTTAAACTGTATATACAATAAATATAAAATATATCACAATACCTGCTGCTCTCCTAAGCAAAGAATCTCTTGGAATAACCACAGGTTCTGTTTCTTCCAAGTCACTCTCTGACTTGGATTCATCATCCGACCAAGGATTCCGTTTCTTCACTTTTTTTGCACTAGGTTTACCAGATGCTGTAGGTGTTTTTCTAACCCTGGTACCTAAAAGTAAAACAACAGTAATAAGATATATATAAATATCATCAGTAAAAATTAATTATGCAGAAGTTTATTATAAAATAACCAATGTTCTTGAAAAGTTACTAGTTACTATTACTTCAATGACTAGAAAAAAAGCACTATCAAAAGACTCCAGTAATATCCTTTACACATAGTTCTACACACACAACAGAGAAAGAGAAAGAGACAGAGAGAGACAGAGAAATAGAAGGGATAAATCCTCACCAGGCTCCTTTTTTTCCCTTTTGGGCTTTGGACCTTTATTTATAGGAGCTGATGGGACCAATGCCTCTTCTCCTGTACCTTCTGCTGGTGTTCCACTGAATTCTTCATCAAATTCCACTTTTACTACTGTAGTATCAAGATCACCCTACATATTCAAAAGAAAACCAAATCATGAGTAAAAACAAAAACTAAATTAACACCACATACTTTAGAGGTGCAATTATAGTCAAGAGGTAGCTTCATATCAGGTAAGTAGTTTTAAAAATGTGACCCTATTTAGCCCCTAATAGGTAACTGCCATCAGACTGTTTTACTTTACTTATCTGGAGGAAACAATATTGCTTACAACCCCAATTTTCTGGTATACTCAATGAGATGATAAATATTTAGAATCAACCCTAAAAATAAGATGGCAGTTTTTGAACTTTCAGACCAACAGCTAAGCATACTAAAAGACTTCTGCAAAATAAGTTTCTATAACTGAAGCTTCTATTACTAGAAAAAAAACCAAATGATTTAAGTGCACATGTCATGCATGCACTGTTAGGCAATGTAAGACAAAGTCCTCAACCCTTAGACTATTGGGGGAAAGGGATGGAGAGGAAGAGGGGGACAGAGAAAAAGGGAAACCATTAAAATACAAATAGCAAACAGAGAGGGAGATAGAGGAATGGTTCAAGTGGGAAAGTGAGCAACTCTTAAAGCAGGGTCAGGGAATGCTCCACAGAGATGGAGCTTTTCTGATTGAGCTCTTAAGGAATGTAGAGAGGAGGAAAGAACATTGCAGGCAGAAGGCACAGAGACATAAAATATCATGTATATTTAAAGAATTAGGTCTTTAAACATAGAATATAATCATCTTGGACTCAAGGAAAGGTGAGAGGAGAAAGTAGTCAGGAGGAAGCACATGGGTGCTAAACCACTGTATACCAACAGTCTGTATATTAGTGGGAGTCGCTGAAAACTTTTAAGCATTTGTGTGGAAATCAGCCTTACATTTCGGAAATATCCTAGTAGCAAAAGACAGGTTCAAAAGAAATGAAGTGGAGAAAAGTAGAAGCCAAGATTACTGGGATGGGTGGTAGTAGGTAGCAGTTGTTAAGACAGAAATACATTAAAGTATGTCAGAGAAAACTAGTAAAATTCTAAGGCAGTATCAAAGGGCACCAAGAAAAGGAAGTGGATTGTGGAATCACTTCTGTAGGTAGTCAATAGGACTTATTGATCGAATGAAAACAAAAACTCCCACATTTCTGTCAGTGTTAGCTGAGTGTTACAGATTAAGTGACACAAGGCACAGAGCAAGTTCTGAAATCAGTACAACTGATCCAGTTTCAGAGATACCATGCCAGAGGGGCTTAGGGCATTTGGATGACTATATGAGCCTGGCAGTCCTGAAACACCGCAAGTTAGGGATACAGATGGAGGTTTCATCATTTTGAACTGAAAAGGCTCTGGGCACAGATGAAGTCACTTCAGGAGACTACACAAAGATGAGAAAAGAGTACTGAGACCTAAACCTGACATACACCACCTGAAAAAGAGAACCATTTTCTGAAGAAAAATGTAAGTATGCAGGCATATGGTAAGACAAAAACCAAGAGAAAATAGTATAAACTTCATTTTATCAGAACTGAGGAAAGTGGCTGCTCTAGTGTCAAAATACTCCTAGCTTCAAATATTAGTTTTGTTCAGAGAACTCTCCAATCTCCAACTCCAACTCTTAGACTCATTTCCCAAGCTCTAATTAGACTCATTTCCCAAGCTCTAAATTAGTGTATTCCCAACTATCTGCTGGGCTTATCTCCACATATATTTCTTAGACTGTAAAATTAACCTATCCAGAAGTACTAGCATCTCTCTTTTAAGACCATCACACATCCTGTTTTCTCAGTTCTGAACCTTCTTTCCAGTCTTTCCTCCTGGCTAACCATGGCCAATCTTTGTCAAAGACAGGTAAATGTCATATTTTTAAAAATCCTCAACAGTACCCATCAGTGCCAATAATACAAGATGTGCTTAATTTAAATAATTTAATTAAGCAAACAGTAAAAATGAGAGCTTACTTTGAAAGCCAAACTCTTTTTCTGCTCTGAAACTTCCTTAATTGGTCATGATACAGAAATGAAGCTCTTATTTTAAGGTAGATAAACTCACATTTTTCCCTTTTGGGGGAACGGGGAGGAGGGTTCCCTAAGATTTTAATTTAGAAAGCTGCCAGCACATGCCTGTAATCCCACCTACTTGGGAGGCTGAAGCATAACTATTTAAGCCCAGGCGCTCAAGGTCAGGCAGGGCAACAAAGAAAGTGAAACTCATCTCAAAACACAAAAAAGGAATTAAGCAAATAGCTCTTCACATGTATGTGATCCTTGACCAGTATGTCATTATTCTATGAACTAATTGCTCTCACAGAGTAAGATTTATCACAATTAAAATATATGTATATACATATATATTTTATAAAAAACAGGATTAATCACACAGTAAAATTAAGATACAAAGAAATTACATAGACACACATGCACATGAAAGAAGTAGAGTCTACCAATGATTAAAATATGTGTTGTACCTTCTTCTTCTTCAACAACTTTTTGCTGGCATCTGCCTTCATAGCAGTAATTTCAGGAACTACTCTTCTCCCATAAGGTGAAGGCATTGTCTCTTCCAACTGAAGTTTCTTCACCTTAGGTTTGCCAACTTTACCTTTTATTGCTTTCCCAGACATTCCTGCCAGAATATCTTCTCGTTCTTGTGCTTCCACTTTCTGTAGTATAAATCATAAGGTGGGAGGGATGCTTAAACAACTCCTTAGAAAAGACAATCACTGTAGTATAAGAAAGTGAGCTGGGGATTTAGCTCAGTGGTTTCGGCACCTGCTGTTCAAGCACAAGGTCCAGAGTTCGATCCCCAGTACCAAAAAAAAAACTGAAACAGGACCAGGGATTTAGCTCAGGGGCTTGCAAGCACAAGGTCCTGAGTTTGATCCCTGGTATCACAAACCCACCCCCCCCAAAAAAAACTGAAACAAATTCTATTGACTAAGGATGACCTGGTACCATAAGAAGTCTGGCAAGTCACACATAAAGGCACTTCTGTTAAGAAGTATCAAGCTGTTTTCTATTGCATTAGCCATAACAATGGTTCATAAATGTAAAGTCAGAAAGAATGAAAAATTAACAGTCCTGATATACTTAGCTTTAACATAAGAGATTCTATGTAACAATAAATGAGGACACAGTCATGACTTATATCACATATTCTGTATTTTACAAAATTATTCTTTTAAATAATGAACATGCTTTAAAGGGTGTAAGAGAAAATGACATCTCTTCAAATATATTTAGAGAAATAACAAGCTTTGAAATCAGACAGATGTGGATTTCAGTCTTAGTATTTCCACTTACTAGTTATGCATTCTTAAGAAATGATAGATAATTTAAAGAGCATCTACCGTGTCCCAGGCACAAAGCAATCCTGTGATCCCCATTCTATAGCTGAGGAAACTGGAGCTCTGAGGGGATGAGTAATTGTCTCAAGGATAATTATGTATTCCTCTCTAAGCAAGTTACTTTATATGTCCTGTATTCTTATCTACATATAACAACCTCTATAAATTATGGGGAGAGTCACTTTAAGGATTACATAGACTGCAGTTCCAGCATACAACAGATATTCAATAGTAGTATCATTAGACTTTAAATGACATGATATATGAAATGATAGTCTAAATCATTTTATACAATAAAAAATTCCATATCTGAAATTTAAACAAGTTGTTTGGACCTACTTTGCTAATAATCAAATAAGCTCTTTTGGTTTTTTGGCTGGGCTTGCTTTGAATGATGATTCTTCAATAATGAGGAAATTTATAGGTATAACCAAAGTTTCTATTTCACTATATTAGTGATCAAATTTAAAACAATACCAGAATGACATTAACATTGGTCAGAAGCAATAATTTACCTTTTAATGTATGCTTGTTTCACTTTTTGACGGCTTTTTCTCCCTCTTTGGTGCTGTGGATCAAAGTCAGGCCCTCACACACACACTAAGCAAGTGCACTACTCCTGAGTTATACCTTCAGCTTTGTATTAATTTTTTAACATATAAAGCAGCAGGGAAAAAATTCCTCTAATTTTTAAAATATCTAACAATATTTTTAAAAGCATAAGTTGAGGTACATTTATATTGTATGACCTGAAAGGTCATTAAGGGAACCTACAACAATAGCACCAAAAACTTCCAGAAATTATATCAGATAAGTAATATACCACATTTGTTAAAAGTTTTAATTCAGACATATGCCATGAAAATAAATCTGGACCATGTGGGCAATGAAACAATTAAAAAGTTTAAAATAATATCATGAGTAATGACAAATGGTAATTTATCCTTTGCTAACTTAAAATCAGATATTTATACTGCTGCCATTCATTGAAGTCTAATATTTTAAGTGGGTAATTTTATAAAGGTTTATAATCTATATTTTTTCCTGTACATAAAAAAATTTTTTAAATTATAATTCTACTTGGAGAGAACTCAGTTAAAACATAAAAATATTGAAATTTCTTTGTTGTAAACCTAAAAAACTATCATTTTACTCCTACAGTCAAGGTACCTATATTCAATTATATAGATGTACTTAGTGGTCTTACCTCTTCCCAGGAAAACATTAAGCTGAATTAATTAGCTAATTTAGAAGTTGATCAAGAAATTTTAACAGGAAATAATGAATTTATAGTAATTTCAGCTCAATAGCATTTATACTGTATTCACCGACACTAGAAATAATTTTCCTTTCTAACCTCATAGAGCTACATCTAGCTTAAACACAACTTAGCTCATAAATACACCAATAGTTTAAAATAATTCTGAAAAAACTTTAAAAGACTTTTATAACTCAAAGATATTGGTTTTCTACATATATATGTATGTGTATATATGTATATATAT